AGGAAAATGATGGAAAAATTAACTGCTTTTCTTGCACTGAATTTTTTCTTCTAGACCTGTTTCTGTAGCATGCTCCCTTACCAACTTTTCTGCCACACCGAAATGACATGCACTTCAACATTAGTTCCCTTTACATTGCCAGTATTAAGCATAAAATTCTACAGTATAAATCAGGAGAATGGTATAAAACTAAAAGTTCTGTAAACCCTCTGAGTTCTGCACTTCATAGATAAATGTTACCAATTGCCTATCAGTTCCAACACTGCAACTTCTGTGATATGTGGATATTTCCTCTCATTCATTACCACACATCCTTACATCAAAATTCTTTTACTAGAGTAAAAGTTGTAGTTCATGGAGAGGACCAGATCACATGATTCACAAGACATCTTTTATGTAAATAAGTTCCTGAAGCAAAATTTCATCAATGATAACACTGGTGATTCCTGCAGGAATTTTACTTTCCTTTTTAATTCTTTGGTAGGGACATTTTTAAAATTCAACTGCGTGCGAGCTTTCAGACCAGTATCGAGCACCAAATATATTTATAGAAGAACTTAATCTTCTGATGAGAGAAAGTGCATGTTTTTCTTTCCACGCTTTTAGCCATCTGCTGAAGAACCATTAAGTCAAGGATTTTTGTTTGTTGCTTTCATTGCACTAATTGAGTTCTATCGAGACAGGTTGTACTAATCTTATTTCCATTACTTCCCTCCCTATAAAATTTATAAAAAGCAGGCCACCACTTCAAAAAAAAAAAACTGGTTGTGAGTGAAAACGATATAGACAGTTGTTTGGTAGCATATGTGAAATGAATTACTGATTTATCTGATAATAAATAAATCCCGCAAACACCACTACTGCAGCTGGCAGTGACACTGTTGTCGACAGTCAACAAAGATTTGGGATAAAACGAACTCGCAAATTTCATTACCACTTTGTGTCTCGGGGTAACGCTTAAGAAAGGGGTGCATGTTTAGATGGAAAAGTAGTGAAGCCTGCTTTAGAGTAGTTTGTGCTATACCTGTCCGAGAAATACAAATGCTTATCTCTAAAATTCTCTATGTATTAACTCACATCAGCATTAAAATATTTTAAGCGTCTACTTCTGCCACCCTTCCTCATCTCAGCAGTTACCTAAGTAAGGTCCTGTTGGTAGTGAGTAAACATGGCAGAATTGTGCCTTAAGGAAAAAAAAACATATTTAATTAGAGATTTTAGAAGTTGCCTATCCAATGAATATATTTCATCAAAGACTCAGGGACCAAACTGACTGACTGCTTTGTATATTCCCTTTTACTGAAAAAAGTCATTAATTTATAATATAAAAAGTAACTGCTATATACACATAAATTTGCACATAAATTCCAAGACATGAAATAGTTGGCTTTTCCTGGTAAATTCATCCTTATAAGGAAAACATAAATTTTTAATTTCAACTTTCTTCAAAACGCACCAAAAAACACCTGACATCAACATACTCGGTTAACTGATAAGGTCTGTACAAAGATCTAACTCTCTCAAATTGTACGTTCATCAATTTTGGTACACAGCATACTGCGCAATTTTGCTGTACAGAATTAATGTTGTACGGAACAGCAGGTGTGATCTATCTGCCCAACATGTTACATTTGCCATAAAAAACAGAAGATAAGGGAAATCAAGCACAAAAGTCAATACAAAGTCAGAAAACAGGCATGCAGTAAAAACACAAAAAATCAAAAAGGTGCTAAAGCTCCTTTTTAAATAATTATTGAAATTTAGTACAAGATACATGTCTAAATATTTTCATTCAAACAACGCAACACTGCAGTGCACAGAAGTCAGATGCACTGACAGAACTCCATGACGTAAAGGGAAAAGGAAATGGAGATCCCCTATCCTGATTCCAGTCACCATTCAAGAACAGGGAGTGAAATTTCTAAAATGATCAGTAATTAAAAAGGGAATGCTAGCTTTTACTGGTGCAGGTATAACAGAGAGAAATGTTTGAATGGTCTGCTGCCGCCCATAACTCTTTGCAGAGCTCTGTATCAATTAAGTCTAGAAAACATCCAGAAGAAATCCTCATCTTGCAGTAATCTCTGGAAGTCACTCAACTGGCAAAAAGACAAACAAAATTACACTTTTCACTGCAAGAATTTTGAATGCCATTAAACAAGAAGAGTTAACAGAAGGCACTTCTGTTGCTAGGTTTTCAACAGCAATCTGCTTCAAGTTTTGAATTACCATAAAACAATTTCCTGATACATTTACTCTGGGTTTTGGGGTTTTTGTTTGTTTGTTTTTGCAACAGGCAGCATGTTTGGTAACTGTCCTCTATGTTACTCTTCATAATCTTTTGGATCCCCAAAAGATTGGGTGCTTGACTTCTCTAAAATTTTAGAGAAACGTTTTAATTTGTATGTTCTCTAACATGAAAAATCAAGCTACTTTCAGATAGGCCATTCTTATCAAAAGGGTTCATCGTTTTTGGAGGCAGAAAGCAGTAACCTGAATAGAAATAAAATGCAAGGGCGTTTCCTGTTAAACAAGCTTTAAGCGTATATGTAATTTTCAGTAGTGGACCACAAATCACCTATCATCAGTCCTTTGATTAATGGCCTCAATTAGAGAATCACGAAAATTTGTGACTGTTTTGGCAAAACAGAGCAGAGGCCCACCTACATTTCCCAGTTAAGGTGCAGTATGACCAAAATGCTTTTACCTCGAGCACTAGCCAGAGCTGTCCTCCCACATATTGATCTGCTTTGTAAAACATTCCATAAAATTTAACAACGTTAGGATGATTGGGAAGAAACTGCAAAATATTATATTCTGCTTCAATTTCTTCATCTATATCCTAAATAGAAAACATAGACATACAGGATATATAAACACTGCAAGTCTGTACAAACCAAGAACAAACTCTCATAGAAAACAAGAACAATATTTGAACTGTTTATACTTTTAAATTATTTTATTTTAATGCAGCTGAAAATACTCACTTGTTATTATAGATTTAATCCAAGCCAAATCACTCCACTTTCGGTTTTTTACATACAGGAAAGGGGAACTGTACGCAAAGCAAGCAGTTCTTCAAGTATAACCTCTAATGTATAACATACGCCACTAGAAAAAGTTATGCTTAATTTTGCTCAGCTGTCTAAATAAGAAGTTTACACATGTATTATTTTCTCATCTTTTTTTAAAATATGCATATATTTTAATGTGTGAGCTAACGGTAAATATACAAACTTGTGTTTCATTCTTACTTTTAAGGTCATAAGGTGGGACTAATTGGAGAACAATTTCAGAAAACCTTAAAGGGGACATAAGTAAAAACAAAAACATCTTTAAGACGACGTCTTGTAAACCCAGCAAGAAAAACATACTCCAGAAACAATTAAATAGAGGCACACCAAAATCCATAAAGTTAGCAAACACTACTGAATAGTTTGCAGTGGCGTACTCCTGTGTCAGTTACAGAACACTGATGAATATTATCAACAGAGGCCACAATGCAGCAAAGTACTTAAGCCCTGAATCTTCCCTTATTTCTGTATAGATTATCAGAAAATTTAAGTACCTACAAAAAATGAGGATATGTATAGCACTTTGCTAAAAAGGATATCTTATTATTTAGTACCTTCTTTGAATTTATACAACAGAAGAACAAGATGAATTTCTGTAGTAGATGACAGAAAAGGAACTTGTAATATTTTAGCCCAACTACTGTGATCGAACTCTAGCTTGATCCAATCTGTTCAGTTGTCAATTAAATCTTTCACTGAAAACCAGAGCCTTGATTCTCAGGGAAGTTAGACATCTAAATTCCACTAAAACTGGAGCTGACACACAACTACCTCAGAGAATTTCGGCCTGTACTCTTCTTCTATTTTTACTTTAACTATTGCTCAGCAGTACTATCCACTTTTAAAAAGTTATCCTACAGTAGTCTAAAATTCACAGTACTTCTGTGACAGGAAAAGTCATTCTTTTATGGAGTACCTCCATTAAAATAAGAACATTTAAGATTAACAACATCTTATATTTTCATTGCTATAGCAGGCCTCTCAGAGAAATGCCTCTGTGCCATCTCATCACATGCATGTTCCAAGCACAGATATCTAATATTTGTGCCAGAAGAACCATACAGAACTACAAATGAAAATAGGCAAATGCTGTCTTCAGATAACATATAAGACAATGAAACTGTCAGTTGCACCTTTCCACTGCCAAATTCAATACTAGAAACAAAGTATCAAATCGTGTTTACTTCCACCAATGCATTCTGTGAAACTGTCCCATCAATTGTTTGATCTGCAGTTGAGATCTGTTTCAGAACTCTTAAATTAACAATGAAGTTAAATACTTTTACTTACACTGATAGGATCCAGAATCTTTACTGCTGCCAGACTGCTATCTTTCTTATTGGCAACCTTATAGACTTTACCATAAGTGCCTTTTCCGATAGTCTCTATAATCTCCCAGGTATCTGAGGGATCGTCTAATGATTCTAGTCCAATCATATTGGAAGTATATTGAAATAATCCATACAATGGTTTCCTGGAAAACAAAGCAAACACACATGCAGTGGGAAGCCCTAAGTAACTCTCTACTAAAGAGGGAGTTTTGCGACAAAGAAATCAGGTATTGTTCCAACTTGAGAAGAGATACAGACAGAATGACAAATGAAAACCAGACACAAAAATAAGATCACTAAGTGAAGGAGTGGAAGAAAACACTGGGGACCACCTCTCTTTATTAATTTGCTTTGCTGTATGTATTAACTATTCACTTCAAATGTTGTCCCATATACTGCACCATTCTGAATCCACTGCAACAAGTTGTGACAAAATCTTGTCCCTCCCTCTCCAGCACAACCTTTCAACAGGCACATTTATTGTACACAGCTCATAAAATTAGTCCCTCTTTCTTATACATTAAAAAGATGCATGAAATGCATCTAAGATACTTTGTCTAACATCCCCCGGATAACTGCCAGCCAGGTATTCAGCAGACATAGCTCCTCATCCTGTATGACATATCTACAACAGGGCTATGTACAACTTGGCTGGTCTGGCTGGTATCATAATACACAGAACGACTTGATAGCAGGCAGTAGATGTCATTGGGGTAGCATAAATCACTGGAGACGTTGCTCAACAAGTCCAGTAGTCTCCATCTCCATATTTCAGTTGAAGCCAGCGTGGTACGGTCAGCTACACTGGCTGAGTGCACCTCCACCTTCAGGAGGTCTCCCAGCTAAATGAGTAGTTTCCTCAAACACCCCAGCGTGATGTGTATAGATCACTGCAGCCTACAAAGAGGTCTCCTTGCCATCTTTGGAATTACACAAGTTCTGGTGATTATGAGCATGATAATACTTTTTTTTTTTTTTTTAAAAGGATTTCATAGTCCTGTGGAATCTCAAATCCTATGCCTACAAGTAGTTAGATCTTGTCTCTAAACTGGAATTACAGAAAGGGAAAACAAAATTTAAGAAGAGATTAACTTAACCTTCTTAAGTAACTCCTCATTAGGGAAGCTGACTTGTTTATGGTTTCTCTAAGAAAGAACCCTGTTTGCCCAGTCAGTGGCTGCCCATAGGTAGACCACTTCAGCTATCTTTACGCTCAAACAGAAGACATGAATTCTGAGATTCATGAACAAACTGATGGAGAAGAATGAAAAAGTGATCTTGCAAAACTAACTGAAGAGAGCACCATGGCTCTCTGTTTTTGGAGATGAGTCAACTAGTGCCTTATTCCAAACAACTTCAAACATAAACCTGAGCTTCAAGGCTTCAGCCATTTCCTTCTAAGTATGCCTGACATCTGCAAACCTGCTTGGAATAATAGCAACAATAATTTTAAAAAGCTACTGTCTTTTTTACCTCTACACCATTTCCAGCATCAATGAGAACTATGTGGCATGAGAACTGGAGCTGAAAACAAATGTGGGCCTAACTGGGGAAACTGATCAAGTAATAAGGAGTGAAGAAGCAGCTCTTAAATCTACCTAAAGAAACAACTTTATTTTCTGTTCATGATAGAGAAGAAAATATCCTGCTTTTAAATTTCTACAAAGTGAAGAGCTATTCAGCAATATTCAGAATTAAATTATGTTTATAAACTTAATTTGCATGTTAGGTTATTTTCCAGAAGAGAGAATTTTTAAAAATTCTTTTAGATCCTATGGAAAAATGTCTACATGTTGTTACAACAGAGGTCACAAAACATAGCTTGTTGCCAAAGTCAGGTTAGCAGAAGTATAACCTTTCTAAAACAATGGTTGGCACGTAGGGTGCACTTAGAAAAAACTCTTATTTCCTTCCATGGCTAAAACTGTATTTGCACCAAAGATGGAGTCAAATAATATATCAAATTGCTTGGGTCTCTTGCGTTGCTCAAGAAAGCAGAGAAAAGAAAGGGGTGGAAGGAGGAAGGAGAAAAAGCTAGCGTCAATGGCATTTATCCATTGTGGGTCAATAATTTAAGTTAATAGGACAGTTTCTCGCTACTTGTAGTACTTGCACTGTCCAATACAGCATGCTGTGAATACAGAACAGAATTCTGAACACATATAGTTAGCTCCTAGATAGAGAAGTAGCTCAGGTGAAAACATCTCTCTGAAATGAGTGAACAGATTGTACCACAAGCTATGCAAGACAACAGCCACAGAGTTGTAGTTCCTGATAAGCCAACATTAAGAACAGAGTTTGCTTTTCTTTTGCCTAGATATGAGCGAGAACTTTAGTAGGAACAGTTGCATCTAAGGTTAAAAAAGCAAACAAAATCCAAACACCTATTTTGAACATAGTGTGATGTGCTACTTTAAAGCTTTAGCAGAAATGGTATAGATGTTCATGTACCGAAAGAAAAAAACCCTCCAGACCTCAAACTTTCAATATAACCTTACCAAAAAAGGGGCTGATATTTCACTGTCACTGTAACAATCAGCCTACTGCACACAATGCCCAGAAAATGATGCATGGCACTCTTGGCACCAGTGTAACATTTATTATGATGCGTCCCTCTGGAACAGTCATTTTGGGTAAACATTTTTTCTTAAAAACAAAAAATCCAGTACCATCTCCTGCTTCTGATTCTCCTGATTAATAAGCAATCATTAAAATGGTATCTCCAAATTCTCTAAATACATTGAAAGTCCTTATACCAGGAGATAATGTTGACCAAAAAAAAAAAAAAAATCAAAAGCAAAATTGTTAGAGATGGAGTCCTGAAGGAGGATAGTGAATACAAATTTTAATTAATGATCACTTTTATGCATTGTGATAACAAGTTAGCATTTAGAGGTGGCATGTCTACGCATTACATGGAATCAGAATTTGCCAATCTCTTATGCTTAAACTGAAATAATCTCTTCTTGGACTAAAACAATGCGTATCTAAATGTTCTTCATCCACCATCAGTATAGGTGCCCGCTGCACACAATATAGTACCCATTATGGCGTTCCTATGATAGATGTGAACGTTTTACGGTACAAAAAAGCAAAGGAGCAATATCAGAAATTATCAATATTGTAAAGTGTAAAATTTGTGCTTATCTTTTTCTATTCCCTGATGTACTGAGGTTTAGAAAATAAAGTGCCCTAAACTAAGGACTGCCATTTACTATTTATTTATACTGTGAAAAGTTACATATGAATGCAAATATTTTTACAACAACCTCGTTCCCAGAATACCCTAACGCTAAAATGCTGAAGTTGAAATATTTCTTTAGGAAGAACTTTCTCCTTTCACTCCCTCCACGTCATGCCTCGTCTCCTCTGGGCTTTGGAACGATACACAAAGTGTGGCTTCTAGCTGTGAAAAACTTTGCAGAACTCCAACTGCCCTCCCCAGAGGAAGCCTCAACCTATTAGAGACCTACTGATTACAAGAACGTCATGAGTTCTGCCACCAGCTGGTGAAAACTTCTCAGTGGTTAAGTCTGTTCCAAACCAGCAAGTAAAAGAGCCCACACCAGATGCTGAAAAATTACACTTTGGCAATTAACTCCACTGGATGAGGAACATCTTACACAAAGCTATTTGTGATTGCATGCACTTAGGCTATTTGAGGAATGACTAGATGCTATCCACAAGCCCTTAGCACTGTATTGAACTTTATTCTGCATACTATAGAAGAGACAAAACGCAAAGTAGAAGTAAGGACAACTCGATGGGGTCTGGTCAAGCTGCTCTCAGGCTAAAGGGCGTAAATTTACTATTTTTAAAGGAGAGATAATATTCTAACTTTAAAGTAAACCCTGTAAAAGTCAACCAACCAAAATAAAGACAATAAGACCAAAAATTATTAACAGGCTTCAGTCATTGACACAGTTCTGTTTTACCCACAGACATCAAAAAAGACATTCTCCATCAAGAAAACAAATTTCATGGGTTTCTTGGTAACACCATCTTGATTTTCCTATTTTGAGACCCTTTAACAGTCAGAATAAATTAAGTCAGACCAGGCATGACAGACTAAAATTTCAGATGACACTCAGGCATATGTGCAAATAACTTTCACCTGCATTTAAAGAAAATATTTCTCCATAAGATTTCTGTGAGAATAAATAATTGCATATTATCACCCCTTAACAGCATCCATAAGACAAAAAGACTACAAAGTTTGTCTGATAAAAAAAGATAACGTAAACCAAAAATGGGTTATGGATACTCCACAAGTCATTATTCCCTTTGTAACAATCTTGCAAATTGTATTCGATAGCTATAAACAGCCGCCATAACAGCTATCTGGAATATTATGTGGTATTCTGAAATATCTACTGTGATCCTTCTCTGCTGTAGAACTCATATTCACAAAGTTCATAGTACATTGAAAAATTAAAAAAAAAGACTACATAGAATAACCGCATGCAAATTTTATATGGTGTCACTACTCTTGGAATAAAGTCTACATTTTTTTCTGTCATGTTCATTATTTCACAGCTATCTAAGAAATGACAGGGAAAAGAGGGACCCCTTAGAAAGAAAAACTGTGCCAGAAACAGCCTTAGAATTACTGTTCTATTTTCAGCACTGCCCTACTGAACCTTTATACAATAATGACTTGCCTATTGTCTTCTAACAGACATCCTTTTTCTAGTTCACTGTAAAATGAGGTATCTATAGATGTTTTGAAATTAATAAGAGCCTCATTCCAGCCTGCTGCTTTGTAACAGCCATGGTATACAATACTAGACATTTCTGAATTCTAATTATAGCTGGTAGGGGCATAATAGCAATTTCAGTCTACAGCAGTGAAACAAAACTGAACATATTGTTTCCATATTAACAATTTTTGCATAGTGCTAATTTCTGCAGTGCTCTGTCTGTCTTACCACCTCTTGTCTCTCTTGTGAAACAGCTGGCTCATACTCTTCTGGTATCTACATAAAACTGTAGAAGAACTAGAATGTCATATTCAACATATGTAAGGAGCTCAATATTGCTTCCATACTAAATGAATGACCCATAGAGAGAGGACTTCAGAAGGCAAAGTTGACATTATCGGCCATGATCACCTTTATTCTCCTGGTTTCTGATGGTCTCAACC